TACAAATGGCGTCGCGGGCAGGATCGAAGATCCCGAAACCAACTTCACCGGAACTAAAAGACAGCAAATTGCCGTGTCCCAGTTCCGGCAGTACCGAGGAGATGGTTAACAATATTGTGAAAAAGGTACTCTCCAGTGACGCTCTTAATCTAAATCTCACCCCGCCGCTGCCCCCACCGGAGAAATTCACTCTTGGCTGCAACTACCCCAGATGGGAACTGCAAGCTCGCGGGTATATCCGGAGGTTCCCCAAGGGGGAGCAAACTGTCGCTCTGCTGAATTTGCTGGCTGGAGAAGCTGCAGACCGCGCGTTCCAAGCTAACGTTTTCGACGGCGACGACCTCGAGGATACATTCGCCCAGCTGCGTGAGCTCCTAGATACGCCGCTACATCCCGTAGAATACCGGACACAACTCCACGCGGCGTGCCAGAATGAGGGTGAGACCATCGTGGCGTACGCATACCGCGTTAAGCAGCTGGTGTCCAAGTCATTCCCAGACGACACCAATGAGGGACAGGAACGTCGCGCCATGGAACGATTCATCGATGGGGTAGCAAACTCTGCCGTGAAGAAGAGGCTCATCATGGAGCCCAAAGCCAGCTTCAATGACACCGTGTCACTGGCACGGGCGACAGAGAAGCTTCAACGGGCCGTTCAAAGACCCGACGCACAATGTTGGGCAATTTCCCAACCGCAGCCACTTCCGCGCAGAAACCCATGGGCTTCAAGGCCGTATCGTCAACCAACGGCCGGACGCTCTTACCCCCGAGATGCCGGCGGATGGAGGCGCTGGCCTAATACCGTCGAAAGAACCCAAATGAACCATGGACAGACGATGAGTGGAACACTGCGTGATGAAAAACCGGAAGACACGGAACCGGGTGAGTCAATTATCCCTGCCGTTTGTGCATCTCCGGATAAAATGTTTTGTGTCCATTTACAATTGGAAAGATGCGGAGTCAAAGGCCTGATAGACACGGGGGCAACAAAGTCGTTGATCAACAAGGCCACGCTTCAGGCCGTGGGAAATCCGGACATCATGCCTTTCCATGGTCGATTGTGTGGAGCGAACGGTATGGCAATCCAAGCCATCGGAGCCGTCCGTTTAAGGGTGCATCTGGATGGTGTTTCAGTTGGACACTGGTTCGTGGTTGCAGAACCGTTATCAGTGGGCCTGATTTTGGGAGCCGATATTCTGAAGAGACTTCGGTGTACGATAGACATGGAGAACGCCACGGTTCGTGTCAAAAAGCTAGTAAGGCCACTGAACGAAAACCTCGAGAGAAACAACCACTGTGCCACCGTTAGCGAGGAAATCAAGGCCCATGAACTTGAAGATATTATCACAAAAGTAGAACCCAATATCTGCCGGTCGACACTTGAGGGGTTAAACAAGCTCATTACAAAATACCGGGATGTGTTCATGATGGACGGCGAGCCGTTGGGTCGGACAGGAATAGTGAAACATCGAATAGAGACGGGCCATGCCGGAGCCATACGACTAAATCCACGCCGCGTACCAAGCTGTTACGTCCAGGAATTGGAGAGTATGGTGAAAGAGATGCTGGCAAACAACGTGATCCAGCCATCCAAATCTCCCTGGGCTGCCCCTATTGTTTTGGTGAAGAAGAAAGACGGAAAAACCAGGCTATGCGTCGATTATCGAAAGCTGAATGAAGTCACGAAGAAAGACCGTTTTCCCTTACCACTCATGGAAGACATATTCGACGCTCTGTCAGGGGCAAAATACTTTTCAACGCTCGATCTGGCATCGGGGTACTGGCAGGTGGAAATAGAGGAGAAGGACAGGGAAAAGACAGCATTCGTCGTCCCGAACGGATTATACGAATTTCAAACAATGCCATTTGGGTTGACCAATGCGCCAGCCACATTCCAGAGGCTTATGTCTTCGGTACTCCGGGAATTGATTCCACAACAGTGTCTCGTCTACTTGGACGACGTGGTGGTACACGGAAAGACCGAGGAGGAACACTTGGAGAACCTAAGGGCCACATTTGAATGCCTTCGCAAGGTGGGGTTGAAGCTAAGGCCTGCCAAATGTACACTTTTCCAAAGAGAAGTTCGCTTTCTTGGCCACGTGATCTCCGCCGAAGGCATCCAGACCGACGACGAAAAGGTAAACAAAGTGCGTAACTGGCCTCAACCTCGCAACGAATCGGAAGTACGCAGCTTTATGGGGCTTGCATCGTATTACCGAAGGTTTGTACCTCGATTTTCGGAAATAGCCGCCCCATTGGCACAATTATTACACAAGGGGACAGAATTTCACTGGACAGAAAATTGCGAACAATCGTTTTCGATCCTCCGCAAGGCCCTCTCAACAGCACCCATTCTTACACTGCCACAACTAGGCCCGGGGAGCGGACAATTCATTCTAGATACCGATGCCAGCGACTGTGCGATTGGTGCTGTACTCTCCCAAGTAGACGAAGAAGGAAAAGAAAAGGTGATCGCATATGGCAGCAGAATGTTAAGCCACCAAGAAAGAAATTATTGCACAACTAGAAAGGAAATGCTTGCACTGGTCCACTTCCTAAAGAAATATAGACACTACCTTCTAGGGAGGCACTTCCTCGTCCGCACCGATCACCAATCCCTGATGTGGTTAAGAAACTTCAAAGACCCCGAAGGTCAAGTCGCACGGTGGCAGGAGAAAATGCAGGAGTACGACTTTTTCTGCCAACATAGAGAAGGCAAAAAGCACCTCAACGCCGACGCTCTCTCAAGGAGACCCTATCGAGACCACGGACCTTGTCCGTCTTGCACTCAGTTCGTGACACAAGTCAACCTTGCGGAGAGAGCCAACAGTGAGTGGGGACAGGTGCAGGAAAACGATCCAGACACAGCCTTGATATACAACCACCTGAATTTGGGCAAGGATAAGCCGGACGTCCGAGAAGTCGCGGGCCAAAGCTGGGAGACGAGATGTGTATGGGCTATGTGGAACTACTTGTTGATGGAATCAGACGTAATGTACTTCAAATATGACTCTTCCGATGAAAAGCGTGTGGTGGTCCCAAGGTCCAAGAGAGACTACGCCCTTACGTGCTTGCACACAGAACTGGGCCATGCTGGAGTGAATAAAATGGACGAGGCATGCAGACAACGGTTTTGGTGGCCGAACATCAGGAAGGACATACGAGAATTTTGCCGAGATTGTGTGCACTGTGACCGATTCAAGACACCGTTTCACCCGACCCGGGCCCCATTGACACCCATTAAGGCAGGATTCCCGAACGAAATTGTTGGTGTCGATATCGTGGGTCCATTAACACAGACAGACCGCGGTAATCGATTTATTCTAGTGATGGTCGACTATTTCACAAAATGGTGTGAGGTGGTACCATTGGATCGAATGGACGCGGAGACAGTGGCCTCGGCAATTGTTGGACGCTGGGTGAACTGTTGGGGCACACCATGTCAACTGCACTCTGATCAGGGTAGCAACTTCGAAAGCGCCTTAGTTCAGGAGTTGTGCAGGTCACTCGGGATAGACAAAACCAGGACAACTGCTTACTACCCACAAGGGAACGGGCAAACGGAACGAACCAATAGGACGCTGATAAACCTGCTAAAGGCGTTCGTGGAGAGCGAAGTAGACTGGGACAAGAAGCTGGGTGCTTGCACGATGGCATACCGGTCGTCGGTGCATGCGTCAACTGGACAAACACCAAGCTTCCTCTGGACGGGCCGAGAAATGAGACTACCATCTGACCTGAGACTTCCCCTGCTGTACGATACGTTCTCCAGCGCCAAAGAATACGTGATGAAGTTGAGGGACACTATTCGAAAAGGAGAACTGTTGGCGCGCGAACACCTACGGTCGGCACAGAGACGCCAAAAAGACTACTATGACAAAAAGGCGTACGCCACTCAGTTTGCTGTCGGGGATAAAGTTTGGCTTAAAAACGTCGAACTACCAACGAGCAGAGCAAAGTTCGCCAGCCGCTGGAGAGGACCCTACGTCGTTGAGCGTGTGATCAGTGAGACGAATTGCGCCATTCGAAACCTGCAACTCGGTGAGGAACGAGCCATGGTGGTCCATATCAACCGTTTAAAACTCTGCACTAGTGACTTCGATTCCCAAACGAGACCAGAGGTGCCAGCAGTCGGGTGCGAGGTAGAGGTGGCGGTGGAAGGTGGATTCGCTACGGCCCCGGGGACGGAGCCTTGAAGAAAAAGGGAGCAGTGTGCGGCGTGACCGAAACCGAAACCGCCGACTGAATGATGCACCTTTTTCGCTGCCACGTTGATGTTCTGTATTATCTGTTATTATCAGTATTGTTGCTTTTATGCCAACATATTCTTATACTATTGACACAAAGGAACGCTGTGATACTGTATGTCTTTCCATTCTCGTTCCAGACCGTTCTGTCGTTGATTCCTTAACGGACAAGAAATACTCCGTGAACTCTTGAACTGTATTTGACTGTAAATTGACATTGTGCACATAACCTGTATTGATTATTTTAGTGTGTCACGAATCGAGTATTATCCAGCGAATTCGCCTTTTGATTTCGCGTTACAATAACGCCATAATTTTGAAATCCTTGCAGTTTATCGCGCAGAAACATTAGTTTCTGAGTTTTGCCCATTCTGTGAGAAATCGATTCAAACGACTACAACAATCTGGTCAAGGACACCGTAAAAAACACCGTTCTGGCTGNTGTCAATAGCATGATATACGAGAATGAATGCAAGAATGTAGGGGCAATTCTACTCCAGGAAAGCTGGTTACATCCTGACATTGAGGACAACGTCGTGCATCTTGATGTATTTGACAAATTCCGAGTCGATCGTAATGTAAGCTTCCCTCATAAAGGTGGTGAATTGGTCGCTTTCTACAACAGAAAATGGTGCAAAAACGCTCGTAAATATTTTCAATTTAACACTTCTAAGATAAATTGTATTTTTGTTTATTTTTAGCCCCGATTTATTAGTCACTTTCATCATATTACATTAGCGAACATTTACATCGCTCCCGACACGCCTGCCTCTGATATTCGTCTGTTTGTCGACTCCTTCTCTTCACAACTTGTAACCAGTATAGATCAGTCTTTATGCATTGCTGCTGGTGATTTTAATCGTTTTAATATCTCTTTCCTTACAATTTTAGGCTTGACGAATCTCGTAAATTTTCCTACCCGGCTTGGTGTCCAACTGGACGGGATTTTTATAAGTATCCTCGAAATCTTTTTCATTGAGAAGCGGGCTCCCATAGGCAGCTCCGATCATTGCTCTATTTTTTTGGACCCTAAGATTCCCGGTAAATATTTTTATCATCATATGAACCGTTTCACATCGAGAACCATCCGAAGGAGAAGTCGTACTCCTGAAAACTTATCCAAACTTAGAGATATGGTTTCAACTGCCGACTTCGATGTCTTTTCCAATGCAGACAACTCTTCCAGTTGTGAGCATCTTACATCTTATCTTAATTTCTGCTATGATCTGTGTTGCCCAGTTGAGACTTTATATATTCGAAGGGACAGATTCTCTTTGCCTCTTCTAAAACGGCTTCGTCGTGATGAAGAAAAGGCTAACAGGACTGGAAGACGCAGTGCTGTCAAACATCTATCATTTATGATCAAAATAGAAATACAGCGCCCAAATTAGATATATATCGAAAATCTAATGGGAAACCAGAGCTACCGCGATATGTGCTCTGCTTTGAAGCAGCTCTGTGGATCACGTAACAGATCTTTTCCGGATGTTGAGGAGTTAAACCGTCAATTCGCAAATTCTACTGTACAGAACTCAACACCATCTTCATCTACATCTACTGGGGAGAACCAATCTGTCACCCCTGTGGAAGTCCTGAATGTACTTAAGTCCCTTAAATCTTACATGGCCCTGATTCGTTGTCCCCCGTCCTACTGAAAGAGTATGCTGAACAACTTGCTTCACCTGTTTCTGGGTTGTTCATTTTGTGTACGTCATCGGGTAGCATCCCTGATTGTTGAATAGCTGCTCGGATAACTCAAATTCCCCAAAAGGGGTCTTCTTAATATCGACCGATTGCCTGCACATCAGCATTACTGAAAGTTTTTGAAAGAGTCTTTCTTAACCGGCTGACTCTTTTATCTGTCACTCATGACCCTATTCAGTTTGCTTACAAACATTCGCTTTCCACTCTTG